TTGTCCACCCTGTGATGTGAGAGTTGTTGCTGCATAACGTGGGCAAGTTTGGAACTCGGGGTAGCCGCTGAGTCGTCTCTTGGTGCGTCCAAGCCCAGTGGTGACTGCAAAGGCAATCGCAGCAGCCGCGGCCTGAGCTTACAAGGGCAAGTCCTCGGGCCCAGCCTCTTCCGGGGTAAGTCTGGCCCAGCCAGCAGGCAGGTGGGGAAGGAGGGGTGGCAAACGTATCAGTCACAGCCCGGGGCCAGCTGCCCCACTGAGGACTGAAATCCACCCCACTAACCACCAGGTGTGAAGTCTTTCCTAGAGACGGGAACTGGCCACCTTGTGGAGGACTCAGTGAAAGAGTGGACGGATTATGAAGAATGGCCAAAGCACGGCCCAGCGCAGTGGCTCACTCCTGTCACCCCCACACTTTGGGAGGCAAAGGCGGGAGGATCACTTGAGGCCAGAAGTTTGAGACCTGCCTGGGCGATACAGCTAGATCCTGTCTCCACAGAAAATAAAAAGTTAGCTGGGCATCATGGCATATACCTGTAGGCCCAGCTACCAGGGAAGCTGAGGTGGGAGGATGGCTTGAGCCAGGAGTTGGAGGTTACAGTGAGCTACGATCGTGCCACTGCACTGCAGCCTGGGCGACAGAATAAGACCCTATCGCTAATGGAAAAAAAAAGGGCGAAGCACAGCAGTGCAAGGGGTAGACTGTACCAGACACCTCCAGTGCCCCTCCTGGGCACGCATCTCTCGGGCGCACTAATTTCAGCGGTGGGTGGGGTGGACAGTTAGTTCCCTGTGGGCTTCCACCGGCAACGTGTCTTCACTTTCTACTCCAGGCTCTTCCGGTACAACAGAGGTGCCAGACAGGTAGAAGCTGGCATATGCAACGCCTGGAAGATGGGGGCGGCGGTCAGCACATCCAGAGCAACACTCAACTCAGGAGGGGCACACTCGAGGGATAATGCTCCCACCCCTCATCCTTTGAGAGGGGACAATTCTGGGGGACACTTGTAGACGTCTCAGGCAGAATCACAGCCCAACTGCCCATGAAAGTGGCCTCAGTAATAAACCCTTGTAATGACTTTTCTTCCTTCCCTGACCCATTCTCTAACCCCAACCTCTGCTCCTTGGATCACCTCCCAAATAGATTCCCTGCGCAGAAAATCCTTGTCTCAGGCTCTGCTTTTCAGGGTGGCCAAGTCAAGACACTTCAGAACCTGCTGCTTCTCCTTTGGCCTCCATCCGTATCTTCATCTCCCCGGTGCCCAAACTGGAAACCCAGGCAGGATGCTGACACCTCCTTGCCCTCTCAGCAAATCGGCCACATCTTGACGATTCCCCACCTACATATACCCCCAGGCTATCCACTTCTCTCTCTCACCAACACTGCCACAGCCGTCGCGTCGCTGCCACCACCTCCGTCTGGACGGCTGCAACCGCCGCTTCACTCTTCCCCCACCGCCCGCCAGCCCTGCCCGCTCCCTCCAGCCCCGGGGCTGCCCCTGGCCGGTGCTACACCGAATGCAGATGTGCTCACAGGACACCCCTGGCTCTCACATCTTTGCTCTGACCACCTGTCTCAGCGTCCAGACAGGCGTGCTAGGCTCGGCTGAACAAACAGTAGGTGACAGCCCTGCGACTGCAGAGACCTGGGATGCTGACTGCCCTGAGGGCCTAGAACGGAACACTCCTGGGGGGACGCGGAGGGAAGGTGAAGAGGTCAGAAGCATGTCCAGGCCTCTGGGGGCGCACTGTTCAGACCAGGCTCGTGGCCCCACCAGTGACACTCCCGGTTCCCGTCACCTCAGTTTATCTTCACTGCATGTCCACGAGGCTTAGAAAACAAAATGACTTGTCCAAAATCACGTTCAGTGACTAGCAGACCTGGGACCTAAACCCCAGGCGGCACCGGGGCTGGCGCTCTTTTCTCGGCACAGCGGGGACGCCACCAGAAGCAATGATCGAATGTCCATGAGCTTTTTTTTTTTAATCATCTTTAATATATTTTTAATAATTTTTGCCTCATTTACCAGATAAATCATCTAAATAAATAGATGCTATACATCTCTTACCAATGTCAGTACAAAAATAAAACCGCGCTCTACGTCCGCTGGCTCTCCCCAGCACGCTTGCTCGAGAAAGGCATGTGCTCGCATCGACTGGGCCCGCCCCTCCCGGATACATTCATTGAGTCTGAACAAAGCTCAGCGCTCGTCTGTGCAGAGGAAGCGCTCTTGTGCTGAGACCTGCAGGCCAGGGCGGGCCACTTGTAAAGCAAAACCGTACCCACCTCACAGAAGCCTAGCGCCTTCCCGGAGCAAGAGGAGAGGAGGAAATTGGCACTGGGGACTATCCCCCTAAGAGCAGTGACAGTCCTGGAGCCCGGCGGGGCTTGGCCACACAGTGCAAGTGGCCACGCAGGGGTGGAGGAACGTTTTCCCCACCCGCCCCACCGCAAAAGAAAAGGTACCTACCGGTCTCTACATTCAAAACGGGGTGGGGCTGGGGAAGAAAGGCAGGTGGTCAGATGCTCGCTAACCCCCTCCCACCCCTAGGAGTACTGGCCTTCTGCGGGGGGCCATGGGAGCAAGGGTGGGAGGTCACTGTCTACCTTGCCCCCACTGGGACACTCCGGGCTGGGGGGAGGCCTGTGCAGCCACACCCATAGGTGATGTCACAGAAGTCACCTGTCCTGCGGGGGGGCAGGTAGCAGCCCATAGCCTGTTCCTGGCTCACAGCAGCCCACGAGCCACGTGCTGCCCTGAGCTGGGCATCTCTGGTCCACCCATTCCAGGTCACCCTGGAGTCCAGCCCTCCCTGGGCCGCAGGATTCCCCCAGAGGCCACAAAGGGCTGAGTAAGAGGAAAGATGTGTTCTGCTGCTGCGGACAGAAAAACAACTGCCTCGTCCACAAAAAAAGCCCCCCGAAACCACAAACCCACAGATTGCACAAACAGTTCTTTGAAAGTGCCCAGGAAGCAGGAAGAGGTGTCCCCTGGCGGATGGGGCTGTGACTTCTGCTGGAAGCTGCCAGCCATGTCCAAAGCCATAGGCCAACACATTCAGCTGGAGAGAGACCCCCAACTTCACCACCTTCACCTCTGCTGGGGGCCCCTATCCTGGAAGAGTCCCCCCCAACTCCAAGCAGCCCTTTCCCCTCCCCAAGGTCCCACAGCCAGTGGGTGAGATTCCTGCCGCCCCTTCCTTTTCCTGCCCCACCCCTACATGTTCCTCTAGGTTCAGTTCCCTGGGCTGGGGGTGATCAGGTCACCCCAGAGGGGACCATGCCCCAGTGGAAGCACTGAATTGACCCTGGACAACAAAGGATTAAGGAGGAAGCAGGCAGAGAGAGAATCAGGGGTTTGGGAATTTTGCCAACGGAGTACCCCGAACAGAAAGGGGGCTCAGGCTGTCTTTGGTTTGGGAACTGGGGAAGAGGTGTGGGTGAAGAATCACCCTCTCTGTGCCTCAGCAGAGATCCTGCTGACTTCCTGAGGACACGGCACAGGGCTGGGGGACAACGCTGGGGAGGGCAGGCAGGTTTCAAAGTCCGGCCACACTCCCAGTTCAGGTTACCCTGACTCTGACGACAGCAGGAGGACATGGGTGCTGGCCTTTCCACGCTCCCCTCGTGTCCCCCAATCTGGCTTTTTCTCCCCTACAGGACTGCGATGGAGGGAAAAGTCACCCCTCACTGGTAGGGAAGCTACTAGCCCACAGGGTACCTTGTACAAGCTAGAAAACAAGCACCCCTTCTCCTGGCAGACATAGCCCCTCGCCAGGGCTTGTGCACAGCCTGATCCACCGTACAAGGCAGCCTGACCTCAGGAAGACATGGCGGAGGTCCCCCCACAGGAAAACAAGGTCAGCCCCAGCTGTGGCATTTAGGTTGGATGGGGAAGGGACACAGAATGGAAGGAGGAATGGTTCAGGAGTTGGGGGCTGCCCTGAGAAGGTGGTGGGCCACTCCCTCCCTCCCTGACTGCCCACACCCACACCACATCTGGGTTGGCTGAGCAGGAGGGGAGGGCAGAAGAAGAGGGGAGTCAGAAGGGCTGAAAAGTCACCTGAGTCAGAAAGAACAAGAACCCGCCCTGGGGAGGAAGGACAGGGCCCTAGTGTCTTGGAGCTGTGCTGACACATCGGCCCAACTTGGCAGAGGCTTGCACACCTGCAATCTAGCCAGGTATGACCACAAAACCACATCTGCATCCGTGCAGCAGAGATGCCATCGCGCCCACAGCTAGACCCCTGCCCTCCGCTGACAGCTGCAGGCAAACCAGGTCAGGACAGATCCTATCACGTGATGTGCATGCAAGGTGGGTTGAGTGTGGGGTGTCGTGGCAAGTTCTTCTGTGCTGTGAATCACCCCATATTCACCTGGCCAGGTTCTGAAGCACGTTTGCAAGGCCCATGTGGACATGTCTGTAGACACACACACATTCATGGCGCATGTGGGACGCACACGCTGCACACCTGTGGGGCTGGGCGTCACGTGAGTGTTTCTGCACAGGCCAGGTGATGGGGAGGGTGGAGCTCTCAGCAGAAGGGTCTCAGCTGGCAGCCTCCTCCCTGGGAAGGGCAGAAACCTCTCTGAAGGGGAGGGGACATGCCCCAGCAATCTCAAACCCTTCCTCCTGCCCCTGCTTGCTGACCCCATCACTCTGGTCACAGACAGCCTCAACAGCCCACCACAAAGCTGGAGTGGAAAGTTCAAAACAAAGACCCAATCAAAAAAATGGGAAGGGGAAACCAGCCAGATGGCTGAAGCGGGCTGCTCAAGGGAGCAGGCTGGGCCTCCCAACGCTCTTGTCACTCCCAGAGCCAGCTGCTGCATCTCTAGAGAATGAGGACAGAGGTGTCCCAGGCAGGTGGCCTTGTCCCCGTTCTGCCCTGGGGAGATGCCCGGCCTGCCAGCCCCTGCCCGAGGCCTCCCTGTAAAAGTCCCTCGCAGAGGAAGGGGAAGGGTGGGAGGGTCTTCCCCCCTTCTTCTGCTCGGGTTTTTTTTTTAAATAAAATAATTACCCCGCCCCCAACCCCTCCCCATCTCTGGAAGTCCCCACCCCAAGCCCAAAAGAAAACAGTTTAAGAAGAGTAAAAAACGGTGATTCAGAACTTCCCGCTGCGGTCTCGGAAGAAGCCCTCAGCCGCCTGGGCCTCTCGGAAGGTGACGGTGACGGAGTTGGCGGTGATGTCAGTCACGGTCACCTCACTTGGGGGGAGCGCAGGTGTCCAGGGAGGGGGCCCTTCGGCCAGGTCTGTCTCCGCTGCAGCCATGAGAGACAGACAGACAGACGGGGCGGCGCTGACAAGGTGGGCAGGTGGGAGTGGGTGGCAGCATGCAGACCCGCCAGCCACCCCCACACAAGGTCCTCCCCTCTGCATCTCCAGCCAGCTTGGGGCCTAGCTCAAGGCTAGACACAGCTCACCGAGAGCAGGAGGGAAGAGTGAGCTCTGGGCTAGGTGTCAGGCCTGCGTCCAGGCCTGACTGTCCCCACCGTGGCCTCACGAGCACTCACGGCACTCTCTGGACCTGATGACCTAGGGACCTTTCCAGCTTTGAGGGTCTCTGGGTCTGGATTGCCTTACCCTCCTCTTCCGGGGGCTGCTCGGTGGGCTCCCACTCGCTGGCCGCCTGCAGGACGTCTGGGGCCGGTGACTCCTGCAGGAAGAGCTCCCGTCGATGGCTGAGACTCTCCAGGTTGGGCCCGCGGGGCGGGAACTTCTTGCGTGAGAGCCGCAGGTACTTGTGGGCCTTGCGGGGCTTGCGGAGTGGGAAGGGCAGGGTGGGCACCAAGGGGCCCTTGTCCACCAGCTCGGGTGTCCCCGCCTTGACCACCCCCTCGGGGCTCCCGCTGCCGAGTGGGCGCGTCAGGGAGAAGCAGAGCTTCTCCTTGCCCTTGGCCTTGTGGGAGCTCCGCAGGTCCATGCTGTACAGCCGCTGCGGGGGCAAGCCAGGGCAGCTCGGGTCAGCCCCGCCTCCCGCCCGCGGCCACACCTCTGCTCATGCTGCTCCTCCCACCGGAGCCCCACATCCGCCCACGCGACTCCTCCCAGCTCCCACGCAGGGCCAGACATCTCCGCACCCCGCCCGGCCCAGAGTGGCCCCTGAATGGCCCCAGGGCCTTCTGATGAGCCTCTCTCCCTGGGGCTGGGGCCACAGGGCTTATCCTGCATGTGCAGCAGAAGGGCACGCAAAGGTACAAACTGAAGATTGACCAATGGGAAACAAATCAGGACCTAGGAAGGAGTTGTTCTTCATTTCAGGAAAGGCATCAGTGCTCATTAAAGGACCTCCAAAGCTGAAAGAGCCGCTTGCCGGGGAGAAGTGGGGCAGGGCAGAGAGCAGAGGGGCAAAGGCTGTGCTTTGGAGCACCCTGGGGCAAGCCAACCAAGGACACACGGCGCTGGGGCGCCCCATGTCACCCAGCCGGAGGGACAGCACTCCACAGGCACACCCCTCGATCCCTCCAGGCCACCCCCTCCCTGGGGACCAGGCCTCAGCTGACACCCCACCCCACCTTTGGTGAAACAGAGCTAGAGGGCACGTTCATCTCCATTCAAGGGCTGGAGTTTATAATTTGGGCATTTATCTTACTGACTTTGGGAGAATTTACATGAATCCAAGAAAGATCCCTGGTGCCAAGATGTTGGGAGATCCTGGATCACTCTGGGACAGTACCTTCTACTGCCACCTGTCACCAGAGGCCAAAAGCCCCAGGAAAAGTGAGACCTTAGATGGGACCTGTGAGGTCGAACGCCTCCAAGCTGGGGGCAGAGATGACACGTCTGGCCTGCTCGGGGCATCACGGCGCCCGGGGTGTGTGTTGCTGTGGGGATGGGAGGAGGGCTAAACTGGGGGGGCTGGGGAAACTGCAGTGGCTGGGAGGTGGGTCCCATAGGCTGCATATTCAAAACCACTCCTCCCACCCTGCTGGCAGGCCAGCAGGAGCCCAGTAAATTCTACCATTCTGCAAGGCACCTTCTTCTTTGTCCTTCACCACCTCATCATGAGACAACTGCAGCTACTGGAAGGGACACAGGGCCAAGAGTCAGCTTCTGCCGTGTGACCCTGGGGAAACCACTAGCCTCCCTCAATCTCAGTGTCTTCATCAGCGAAACGGCGAAGAGGCTGTAGTGACCAGCCTCCAAGGTGGTCCCTAGGGATATCCGCCTCCTGGAATTCACACCTGCATGCAGCCGCTTCCCACGAGGAATACCGTGGTGTGTGACTTCTGAGGTTAGGTCATAAAAGGCACTGTGGCTTCTTCCCTGCTCTCTCTCTCGGATCACCCGCCCTGGGGAAGCTAGTGGCCGTACTGTCAGGACACTCCTGCAGCCCAACGCAGGGCCCACGTGGGGCAGAGCCGGGCCCACGTGGGGCAGAGCCAGCCCCACCACAGCCAGCACTGCCTCCCGTGAGCAGCCTCCCAGGGGCAGATCCTGCAGCCCGTCATGCCTCCGGCTAACGGCAGCTCCCGCCAACATCTTGATTGGAACCCACACTAGAACCACTGAAGAACCAGCTAAAGCACTCCCGAGTTCCTGACCCACAGAAACCATGTGACATAATACATGTTTATTGCTTTAAGTTGCTAAGTTAGAGAGGTAATTTATTACACGCAAGAGGTAACTTATATGTCTGCCCTGTAGGTTTGGCATGTGGATGAAATGTGTTCATCTGTGAAACACACCAGACACAGGGCCTAGCACGCACATGGCTGGCAGGTATCACTTCCCTTCCTAGACCCGATTCACACCAAACCCGACAGACACACTCACTGAGAAGGGAGGCCCAGCCTGGTGAAAGCCTTGGCGGCCTACGGTAAGGAGTGGCCAGGAGGACTGGTGTGGCTCGCATGCGCACAGACCAAGAATCCCGATATTTTGGCTTCAAATACCCTACCCTAGTGGGCCTTATTAAGTTAAGGAGAGCAGGTATTGTTATCACCCCTGTTTTGTAAGCGAAGAGACTTGCCCATGATCACATGAACATCTCCTTTGAGCGTCATGTTGCCGCTCACGAAGTTTCAGACTTTGAGGCGTTCCCGATGTTGGATTAGGGATGCTCAACCTGTAACTACGCTGCTTCAAACCCCATTCGCTTTTCACCGCAAACCACCAAAGTCGGCAAAATGCCCCCGAGACCTAAGAGGTTGGTAGCCTCGGAGGTTGCAGAGACTAGACAGGAGACTGGAAAAAGAGGCCCTGTAGGTTTCTTCCCACGCAACACTGATAGGTTTCTAGGAGTCTCATATTCCAAGGCTATGGTTCTAAAATTCTAAGAGTCTCTGTTTCTTTTTCTAAAATTCCTGAATTTTTCTAAAATTCTGGGCTCCTGTGTTTTCTCAATTCTAACGTTTTTGCTTCTGAGGTTCTCGAGTATTACAATTTTGTGTCTGGGGATTTTGAGCATTAAAAAGCTCAAAGCTTTCAAGCTTTTCTCAAAGCAAGATTCTAAGCTCTCGAAATTCTAGGATTCTATTAGCCACATGCCCACCCCGCCTCCCCCCACAGCACCGCCCACCCAGGCTGTCATCCCTGGGCACCAGCCCCACGTTCAGGCTCTTCTAAACTCCTTCCCTCACAGCTCATGCACTCAGTGCCCAGCCCACAGTGCCCTGGGTGGAGCTGGGGAGGGTAGGTGGACCCCAGGGGTGGGGCCCATGGCTGGGCAGGGAGAGGAAGAGGCGCAAAGGCAGGCCGGTTACCTGCAGCAGAAGCCGCTTGGGTTTCGGACCTCTCTTCCTATACCCCGACGCTCGGTCTCTCTCCTCCCTGGGGTGCGAAGCAGGCGGCAGAAGAAAAGGAAACACGGGTGACATCTAAGGGAAAGCAAGGCATCCACTTCACCCGCCCTCTGCTACCTGTAGGGAAGGGGACACGCCCTCCAGACCATCCACGGATCCTCCCCACTGCTCGGCTGGGGCCACAACAATGGGGTCGGATGCTCTACTCCCAGGGCCCTGGTGTTCCCATCTTACAAACGGGGAGGGCACTGGTCTCAGTCGCTAAGGCGGGACTCATGCAGCATCTCCAAAAACACGTGAGCCATCACTGGGCTCCAGGGCCACATCAGGGCTCTGCTCTGCACACTGCTGGGGACCCTGCTCCAAAACTGCAGCTCCCATTTCTACTCTTAAGAAAGTCAGGTAGAAACCTCTCAATCCAATTTGCCTTGGCTGTCCCAGGGGAGCGGATGAGAATGGCAAATCCTTTTGCAAGCGCAGCTCAGCCCAGACTGCCCCCCATGTGGGATCTATGCGAACGTGGGAGAGGACAGGCTCCTACCTTGTCTGTACCATCTAGTCGGGGGACGGGAAGAAAATTAGCCTGTATTAGTGCCTAGTAGACGCCTGACTCTCTGCTGGGTGCCTTCCCCACATATCAAAACACACAAACACAAAACACAACTTGAGGATGCTTATAAAGTCACACACGACATACACAACACAACCAGAGACTCCAAACAACAGTGCCAGAAGTGGTGGGGAGATTCAGAGTCATTTCATTTTGCTTCCTGTTTCAGTTCCATCCACACTTTCTGTAGCCCCACTACAGAGGCCATATGGACGGCAGAAAGAATGCAGAAGTCAGGAGTCCACCCCTCTCCCCTTCCTGGTTGTGTGACCTTGGGCCAGTCTCTCACTCTGAACGCAGCACAAACCAGTGAGCCCCACGGTGTCTATTTCTAATGTCTGACTGTCCTCTGGGCAGGAGCTTTCACACCCTACAGGACTCCGGTCTCCAGGGCAGAGGGGAAAGGGCACCTGGTGGAGGAGTCTACCCCAGGCCCTGACACCTGCCCCCGCAGTCCTTACCACACTCTGAGACATGCCCAGGATTCTCCCACATGGAACAGCCCTGTTGGACCAAGGCCCTACCATGCACCAGGAGGCAAAGAAGCTGTGGGACAGGGACACCCTGATTTTTAAAGGAAAGAACGAGGAAAATTTGTCCTGGAATCAGTGGCAGGAAGCCTCCTGGGGGAGAAGCAGTGAGAATCCAGCACCGAGAGGCAGCAGAAAAGCACCTGACCCAGGGTCAGGAGCCCTGGCTGCGTCCTGGTCCTGCCAGTTCCCAGCTGCAAGGCTCCTGAGCAGGTGCCCTGACCCGCCAGGCCTCCGTTTCCTCATCTGCCTGGTGAGAACGGCATCCGTGCCTCAGGAGGGTGCCGTAGGGGGCCAGGTCCAAACGATTCTGCAAAATGGTCTGGCGGGCCAGGGAGAAGCAAAGGACCTGGGGCTGCTCTCTGGCAGGGGGGCGGAAAGGCTGGGCACACGCAGTGAAAGGCAGCAGTCAGATAGTGCTTAGGACCCCCGCAGGGAACTAGCAGAGGCAGGACACTGATTTTGCCCAGGGCCACTCGGCTAGGAGGTAGCCAAGGGGGACAAGTCGGAGCTCAGAAATCCCAGCTCCAGGCTGGGCGCGGTGGCTCACGCCTATGATCCTAGCACTTTGGGAGGTGGAGGTGGGAGGATTGCTTAAGCTTAGGAGTTTGAGACCAGCCTGAACAAGAACAAGACCCCATCTCTACAAAAAATAGAAAAATTAGCCAGGCATGGTGGTGTCATGCCTGTAACCCCCGCTACTTGGGAAGCTGAGGCAGGAGGATCACTTGAGCCCAGGAGTTCAAGCTGCAGTGAGCTATGATGATGCCACTGTACTCTAGCCAGGGTGACAGAGTGAAACCCTCCAAGAAAAAAAAAAAAGAAAAGAAATCCCGGCTCCAAAGCTCACACTCCTGCCCCAGCCTTTGCTGAACTTCATCAGACCTTCCTTCTCGTGTAAGACAATCTCCTGAGAGACCTTATCTTGGACCTGTCGCCACCAGCATTACTGATACGGCCACCCTCTCACACACAGGGCACCTTTGTGAAGCCTTTTTACATTTTTTACCGAAACTGAAACCTCTTACAGGCTCCGTAAAGTTTCACCCTGGGGAAATTGGGGTGTTATTCAGGGTGGCCCATTTCATAGCAGAGAGACTGAGGCCTGGGTGGGTAAAGGAAGTGACCAGCAACAGGAAAAGGACCCAGGGCCCTCGGCTGCCCTGGGACTCTGCCCACCAGCTTCCCCCAGTGCAGGCCAAGCTGGACTGCCCAGTCAGATGCCCCACCCAGCCCCCAATGACCAGGCCAAGCCAGCAGCGGGCTCCCCAGGAAGCCTCGCAGTCAGTCCTGAGCCCAGCCCGGCAGCAGGCCGAGGACCCCTTACTTCTCCTCATAGGCCATGACGAGGCGGGGGTCCAGGATGTGCTCTTCTGGCTCCCACGTGCTGTACCTGGGGAGAGGAACGAGACGTCAGAGCTGCCCTTTTCCACCTGGCTCCACAGAGCCTGCAGCTGCTGATCCAGGGCCCGTAACAGGCGGGCCTTTGCCCCATCCTGGTAAGGTGTCACTGTCACCTATTCCAAGGAGCTGACCCTAGCTTGGGCCTCCTGAGGGATCCAGCAACCTCAGAGCTACCCTCATTCGTACCACACTATTATGTGACTGGGCCCAACTCCCAATCAGACCCCACATCCACCTGAGCCCCTCGGGTACCTGGAAGAGAGCAAGCCCCTGCAATTCCCAGGGGACTCTTCCTACAGCAGGCGAGAGAGGGTGGTAAGGAGCTGGGGCTCTGAAGACAGCATACCTGGGTTCAAATCCAGCTCTGCCCCTAGCGAGCTGTATGACTTTGAGCAATTTACTTAACAGCTCTGTGCCTCAATTTCCCCATCTGTAAAGGACCCTTGTGCTGATTAAATCCGTTAATCTAAGTGTTTAGAGCCACACTTGGTTTAGTAAGTGCACTGTAAGTGTCTGCTGCTGTCCCCTCCACCCTTCAAGCCCCAGCCTGGTCTCCTCCACTCTCCCCCTCCTCAGCACACACATCTGTACCCCAACCCATACCATGGCCACCTCTAAAGTTCCCTTGTCTCTGGGCCTGGCACGCAGCAGGTGTTTGGTATGTATCCAGTGACCCGATGGCCCAGCAGTCCTACAGCACGCCCCGTGGTGTTGCCACAGAGGATCTCCCACCACCCCACGCCAGAGAGCCTCCCCCTGCTGGGGCAGACCTGGTGGCAACAGTGCAGCAGTCCCAGAGCACACCCATCTGTGGTACCACCCTGGTGACACCTGTCACATCCTCCTTCCACCTGCACTTTTATTTACTTAGTATTTGTTTTTAAAGCAGCTCATTTTTTTTTTTATTTAAAAAGCTAACTATGACTTCCATAAATGGAAAAACCAGGATCACTCACCACAGGTACAAGTATAAAATTTTTTCAATAAAAAAAATAAGTACAGTCATGTGCTGCATTAACGTTTTGGTCAACGACAGACCACATAAATGACAGCGGTCCTGTAAGATTAGAATGGAGCTGAAAAATTGTTATCACCTAGTGATGTTTGGATGATCCCAACCCTATGTAGGCCTAGGCTAATGCGTGTGTTTCTGTCTTAGTTTTTAACAAAAAAGTTTTTTGTTTTCTTTTTTTTTTGAGACAGAGTCTCACTCTATTGCCCGGGCTAGAGTGCCGTGGCGTCAGCCTAGCTCACAGCAACCTCAGACTCCCGGGCTCAAGTGATCCTCCTGCCTCAGTCTCCCAGGTAGCTGGGACTACAGGCATGCGCCACCATGCCCAGCTAATTTTTTCTATATATTTTTAGTTGTCCCATTAATTTCTTTCTATTTCTAGTAGAGACGGGGTCTCGCTCTTGCTCAGGTTGGTCTCGAACTCCTGAGCTCAAACAATCCGCCCGCCTCGGCCTCCCAGAGTGCTAGGATTACAGGCGTGAGCCACTGCACCCGGCCCAACAAAAAAGTTTTAAAAGTAAAAAAAAAAAACATTTTAAAAACAGAAAAAAACTTACAGAATGAGGATATAAAGAAAAAACATTTTTGTACATCGGTACAATGCGTTTGTGGTTTAAGCCAAGTGTTATTACAAAAGAGTAAAAAAAATTCTTTTTAAATTTAGGCCTTCACATTCACTCACCACTCACTCCCTGACTCACTCAGAGCAACTCCCAGTCCTGCAAGCGCCGTTCATGGGAAGTGCCCCATACAGGTGTACCATTTTTTATCTTCTATACTGTATTTTTATTGTATCTTTTCTATGTTTAGGTATACAGAGATACACAAACGCTCACCATCGTGTTACGATTCCCTGCAGTATGCAGTACAGTAACACGCTCTGCAAGTTTGCAGCCCAGGAGCAAGAGGCTACACCATACAGCCTAGGTGTGCAGTAGGCTACACCACCTAGGTGTGTGAAAGTACGCTCTATGCTGTTCACACCATGACAGAATTGCCTAAGCAGGAATTTCTCAGAGCGTATCCCTGTCATTAAGTTCAACATGACTGTATAAACAAACATAAATATACATGTATGTAAAATACATACATACACACAAAAAAAGCCATGTTCTCTGATCCTGGCTGGAGGCTCTCTGGGTAAGAAGGAAGGTGCGTGGGTATAGGGAGGGCTTAGGCAGCAGAGGAACTAGGGCAGAGGCTGCCCTGGCTTCCTCCTACTCTGCTGAGCTAAAGCCTTTAACTTAAGTACCAGGGACATCTCTTGTGATATTTAACACCAGTCCAATCTGGAGCAACAAGTTGCCTGAGGACAGAATGCTTTCCTCCTCTCTTCTGCTAACACGTGGGCACGGCTCCTTGGCATCAGGCCTGCATGGGCTCTGTGGACATGGCAACGAAGGCCATGCCCTGAGCGCTGTACGGGCCCTTCCAACGTCCCCACGCCAGACCTCCCTTCCTCTGTGCCTACTCTGCCTTTAAAGCGTCTCTCTGGTGAACTCCTAGTCGTCCTTTAAGAGGCAGATCCTTGTAGCTTCCCTGACATCCCTCCCAAGCTGTCCCACTGCCAGCAGGACTGGCCCTGCCCTCCGCTGCCTCCCTGGGCCTTACAGTTGCACTTGGCCATAACTATGGATGGATCCAGCGGCGCCCCAGCAGGCAAAGCCAACCCCTCCCCAAAGTGCCCAGCGCAGGCCCAGCGGCCCCCCCCAATGGGAAGGGTTGTGGAAGCCCCTGCAGCCTTCGCTCACCCTTGCAGAAATGCTGAAAGTCAAACTGAAGCCCAAACTACAGTATCAGCAACCAGGGGCTGGCAGAGACTAAACCTTCCTCCCCCGAACAGCAGTTGCATCTCCTCATCCATAACTAGTGAGAAGGGGAATTTTGTGCCCTCCTGCGTGGTCGGCCTCACCCTCTCTCTAGCCGCTGAAATGTCTACAGCGCTAGTCCTCTCTGCCTGCCGATTTCCAGCCGATGTAGCTGCTGTGTGATTCCGGCAAGTCTCTACCCTTCTCTGACCTCAATTTCCTCATCTGAAGCACAACCGCCACCAAGATAGCAGGTGCGCGGACGACCTCTAGGAACTGGTGCCTCCTTCATGGTACTCTGACGAGGTAGGTTCTTAAATTATTATCCCCATTTTACAGATGAAGAAACAGAGGCATAAGCAACTTGCCCAAGGCACTGAGCCGGGAAGGGGCCAGTCCGTGGCTGGAACTCAGTTTGGCTCTCAGCGACCCTCTACCTTCGGGGGACACCCTAGGAGAGCAGCGTTGCCTGACCGCCCCGGTCCTCGGGGTCTGGCCGGGGTCTAGCACACAGCCGGTGCACAAGGGGTCTGCGGCAACAGGGTCAGACCGGCTCAGACGGGCAGCCGGGGGCCTGGTCCGGCTCTGCGCTGGGGGATGTGGGGGCCTTGCACAGGGTCTTAACCTCTCGGACCACAGCCCCGCAAGGTGGAGGCCGCACGAGGGAGGCCGGCGCAGGCAGGCAGGGATCGAGCAGCTCACAGCCGCCTGACACCGGGGACCGGGCGGGGGACAGCAGAGCGCCCCTGGGAGGAGACGGAGGGCCCCGCCCCCGCCCCCGGGCGGCCGCGCGCGCGCACTCACGCACGGGCAGGGGTGCGCGCCGGGATTATCCGGCCAACCAAGGGACGGGGGCGGGGACAGCGCGCGCCGGCTCCGAGA